AGAGAATAACCTCGATAAAAAAAAGATTTTAAATATTATAATTACGATAAGCCCGAATATATAACTAGAGATTATTAATAACCTAAGTATATTTAATATTAACTTATTTTAAAAAAACGAGTTAATATTATAAATAAAAAAGTCCTTTATAAATAACTTTTATATAGTGGTTTTTTTTTCCGGCTTTATAAGTATAAAAGATCGACCTTAACGGGATTATATTTTTAAAGGAAATTATATAATATAGTATACTTTTTAATTATATAATACGCGTAATATATCCTAAGTACGCGCTTAACGTAATATAATAATTTTAATACGAAAATTACTATTTAATTTAAAATAAGTAAGCTACCCTTTACGTAGCGGCGCTAATTAAAAAAGTTAATAATAAAAGTTAGCTATAATAATTAGCTATAATAGTTAGCTATAATAGTTAGCTATAATAGTTAGAGGTGGCCCTTAATTATAAAGGTTTTAAATTTTAATAGTAACGTAGAGGTTTTTAAAAAAAGGGCTAAATAGGCTAATATTTATTACTCTTTATACTAGAGCTCGTAAAGATTCTTTTTATCCTTATTACTTTTAATATTACCTAAAGCTACTCTCTATTTAAACTAAATAAATTTATTAAATAAATCTACTAAATAAATTTATTAATATATAGACTACTACTCTACTCCTAGTATATAGTTAGTAATTAATAAGCTAGAACTCTCTAAAAATGCCCGTTAATAAGTTTATTCCTCTCGGGCTAGGCGCCCTCGGCTAGCTTAATACTATAGCTATCGTAATTAACGTAAATATACTTAAAAAATAATAAAATACTTTTTAATAATACGGAATTTAGCTAGGTAATATTATAAGTACCGTAAATAGCTAGGCCGGTACGAATACTAAGATTTAGTATATTAATATTAGCCTAACTATAATAGTTATAATAAATAGGCTAGAAGTATATAGGGTTAGGGTAATAAGCTAGTATTTTAAATAGCTCTTATAAGACCCCCTAGGTAATAATAATATTTATATAAAAGAATAGATTATACTAAACCTAGTTACTTATATAAGCTAATATTAAGAGGTCCTATACGTATTAGAATAAGTAAAGCTTACCCTATAGGCGGGTAGTAGAAAGTTAAGAGCTATTAATAAAAAAAAAATAATAGTTAAGTTAATTAACTACTATTTTAGTTAGTAATTAGGTATAGAGCATATTATACCTAGTTTTTCCTAATACGTAATATACTATACGGCCCCGGCGGATTGCTCCGTCGGGAGGATAAATAACTTTTATAAATAGCTTATTACGATAATAACTACTTTACTTATTAAAATAGTAAAAAATAAATAAAATAGTACTTAAAATAACTTAAGAATAATAAACGATTAGGATATTATACTACTCTATTTTTAATTAAAACCCTAGCTATAATAATAAAACAAAAAGGATACTTATTTATTAACTTTATATTTTTAAAAAAAGTAATATTAAATATATTATTATGCTCTTTTAAATTTATAAAAATATAAAAAAAAAAGCTAAAATAGACCCTATTATAAGAAATATATTTTATTTTTTTAAAAGTTAAATTAAGTAAAGACTTTTAGTTAATATAAAAAAGTAACTCCTTAAACTTAAAAAAAAAGGACTTAATACTAAAAAAATTATAAGTAGCCTCGTTTATATAATGCGACGAAACTATATAAATTAAAAATAATTTACTAAATCTAAAAAAGGACTTAATTTAAATAAAATCCTAATTAAGTCTATTTATATAATATAAAAAGTAAATAGTAATAAAAAATTTATTTATAAAGTTAAAAAATAGCTTAAAAACCTCTTATATAAAAATAAAATTAAAATAATTAAAAGACCGATTCTTAACTTCGGAATTATAAAAAAAAGAAAAATTAATTTTAACTTTAAAAAAGAAAATATTAAAATAGGACCTAGCTCTTTTTATTTTAATAAAATAAAATTATTTTATAATTTAAACGAACTTTATAATATTACTTAACAATATACTTAAATAGAGATCGATTATAAAATACTACTTAGCGTTAATAATACTAACTTTAAAAAGGATAATAAAGAACTATAGTATAAATATATTTATTTATTTATAAATAACTAAACAATTTAGTTCTATAGGACTAAAGAACGTAAAAAAGTTATAATAACCCCCTATATAAATAAAAACTATTTTTTATTTAACCCTACGGACCTTTTTTATAAAGAACTATTTTAAGTAGAGTACTTAGATAATAAGTACTTTTAGTACTTCGTATATAAATAAAATAGCTATTTTTATTTATAAAAACGTAATAATAAACTTATTAAGGATATTTATATAAAAGACTAATTATTTAATTAGATATTACTAAGCTTTAATAATAGTAATAAAGTAATATTCGGTCTAAATCCTAACTTTCTTATAAAATACTTTAATAATAAATATATAAAGTAAGAAGATTATAAATATAATTAATATTAAATTTACTATATTAAAAAAGCTAAAGTATAAAAAGAATAATAAGAACTATATAAATAAGGTACTTAATAAAAAAAGCGTATATTAAAAAACTAAAAAAGCTAATTATAAAAGAATAATAAAAAGCGAGAATAAAAAAAAAGTTTTTATATATAACTTAATAATATAACGACGTATATTTATAAGTTAATTTTAATATTTATAAACGAGAACTAAATATTATTATTAATAATAACGTATAAAAAACTTATATTCTATTAAGAATAGTAAATAAACTTAATTTATTATAAATATAAAAAGATAATTTATATTAATTATAAATAGTAAAAGGGGAACGAGTTAATTATAACTATAAGTATATTAATTAAGAGACCGTATACCTCTTAATATATATTAATAATTAATAAGAATAATTATAATATAATATTACGGAGATTAGAAATATCGATATTATTTTAGGAATCTCGTAGTTACGAAAGTATAATTTATAAATAAATTAGAATATTAGCTAGGTCCTTTAAAAAAATCTAGTTATTAAACGATTTAAAAAGAAAAAGGGTTTAAACGGATTTTTAATAACTCTTAAAAAATAAAAATAAATATAATATATAGCTTTTATTAAAATAATAAAAAGTTTTAAAAAGTTTGTATATAGTATTAATAACTAAGGATCGTAACGACTTTAAATTATATTTAAAAAATACTAAATATATACGAAACTATTTATAAAACCTAAAAAAATAGGATTATTAAAATATAATAGTTAAAATATAAAAATCGAACTTAAAAAAGGAACGTAACTTAGGTTCTATTTAATATACTTAATAAACTAAAAAAAATAAGAGTATTTTAACGAATATATTAATAAAAAACTCGAAAAGGGATATATTTAACTATTAAATTCTTTTATAAAATTCCCCTTATTTTTTTATATTAAAAAAGGGTAGAAAATTAAAACTTATTATTAACTATAAAAAACTTAATAAAATTATAAAAAAGAATTACTATCCCTTATTATTTATTACCGAGCTTAGAAATTTATTTTATAGAGCTAACTAGTTTATTACTATAAATCTTAAAAAAGTATTTAACTAGATTTAAATTAAGAAAAGAGATAAATAAAAAATAGTATTTTAAACTCGTAGAGGACTTTTTAAGTACTTCGTTATGCCCTTTAAACTTACTAATACTCCGGTAATTTTTTAAATAATAATTAATTACGTATTCTAAGAATATATTAATATTTTTATTATTATTTATATTAATAATATCCTTATTTTCTCCTCTAATTTCGAAATATATAAAAAGTATATTTATATAGTATTTTAAAAACTTTAAAATATTAAACTATATACTAAACTTTTTAAATACGAGTTCTATATATAGAAAGTAGATTTCTTAAGATATATTATTATATTAAAATAAATCTATATATAAATATTAAAAATAGAAGTAGTTAGGGACTAGCTTATATTATAAAACGTTAAGGATATATAAAGATTTTTAAAATTCGTTAACTTCTATTAACGATTCCTTAAAAACTATATTAATATAATTAGACCTCTTAATAACCTAATATAAAAAAATATTTTATTTATTTAGGACCCTAAGTATAAAGAAGTATTTATTAAAATTAAAAATATAGTCGTTTTTAAATTAGTTATTATAATCCTAGACCCTTAAAAACTTTTTAAAGTCGAGACTAATACTTTAAACTTTATTATAAGAGCGGTTTTAAAATAATAAAATAAGTAAAGGAAACTTTATTTATATTATTTTTATTTTAAAGTATTTTATAAAATAGAATTAAATTAGTAAATTTATAATAAGGAACTAATAATAATTATTAAAGTATTTTAAGAATAGAAATTATAGTTATTTAGAACTAAGTACGAAGTTATAGTTTATATAAACTATAAAAACTTTATAAACTTTATAATAAATAAGAATCTAAATAAACGATAAGTTAAATAGAGCGAATTCTTATTTAAATATAATTTCTAAATTATTTATTAAAAAGGTTTAAAAAATAGTAGGGTAAATACTTTTAATAAAAGACCTAATTACGAAATTACGGTCCCTAAAGAAATATAAGTTATTTTTAAGTAAAAGAAGGACGGTAGCTTTATACTAATTATAAAGCTTTTTATAATAACTAAAAAGATTAATATTAACTTAATTAAAAAAATAACCCCTAAGCTTATTATAGAAATTTATAGTATATTAATATATAGTTACTAAAGAATAATTAAAATATAAAAACGGATTTATTAATACTATAATAAATCCGCTATATATACTAAAATTATAAAAATAATTAAGGACTATGCGACTTATAAAAAAAATAAAAATAACTTATATAAACCTTATAATAAGTTATAACTATTATAACTACTTATAGAAGTATAGTAATTAATTATATAGGACTTTATTATTAAATTATTAAAGTTTAAAAAACTATTTATTAAAGTATAGTACGATAGTATTTTAGTTATAGTTAACCGACTTATTAAGTTTACATATTTTATTTTTTATAAAAAATCTAGTATAGTAAAAGACCTAGTATACGTATTTATTAAAGTTATATTTTTAAACTATAGTTTACTAAAAGAAATTATTTTTAATAAGAATAAGCTATTTATTTCGAAATTTTAAAAATTACTAATTTCGTAACTTAGTATAAATTATAAATTATTAATATTATTTTATTTATAAACTAATAAATAGATAAAAAGGATTAATTAGATCTTTAAAATATATTTTTATTATTATATAAACTATAACTAAGATAACTAAGTAGTATTTTTATTAATAACCTAGTTTGTATATAATAATATAGTTAGTAAAAGTATAAAAGAATCCCCGTTTTATTTTAATTACGGATTTTAATTAATAATATATAGAGAAGTATAATAAAGACTATAAGCTATAAAAGCTATAATAAACGTAAGTAAACTTAAAAAGATCTATAAATAAATATTAATAAACCTCGAATTCGTATAATAATATATAAAAAGAAATATAAATAAATTAAAAATTAGAAGACTATTTTTAAAAAAGGGGGATAGTACCTATTTCTTTTATTATAATATTAAAACGAAACGACTAAGTAATAAATTAGATTATAAAAAACTTAGACTTTTTAAAATTATTAAAAAAGTCTTATTAGTTAATTACGAATTAAAATTACTAAATATAATATAGTACTACCCCGTTTTTTACGTTTTATTACTTAAGCTTATATTAAGAGGTTTATATATAAAAAATTATATTATTATTAAACTAAACTAATTAAAATATAAACTTAAACGAATTATTAATTATAAAATAAAAAATAATAAAAAAGAATACTTTATTAAATAGAAAAATTATAAATATAAAGAAAATATATAAGAATTTATTACGAACTTTTAGAACTTTTAATAACTTTTTAAAGAGTATTAAAATTAAAATTAAACTTAGAACTCTTAGTTATTATAGCATTTTAATTAATAATCTTAAAAGTACTATTAACTTATATTTTACGGGCTACTAAAGAAGTATTTTTAAAATTTTTAAAAAACTCTTTTAATATAATCTAATTTTTTTTTAAATATTATTCGCTTTTAAAAACGAAAACGCTCTAACTTAAATAACGACTTATTTAACTTAGTTTAAGCTTATTAATAAGCTTTAGCTTTTTTTTTATAACTCCGTAGCTCTTTTTTAAAACTACGACTTTTTTATTTTTTATTTTATAATTAAAATAGTTAGACTCCGTTATTAACTAACTAATTATACTTAATTAGCTAGAACTTAATAAATAAAAACGTAATATTTATAAATATAAATAGTATTAATAAACGTATTATATAAAATACTTAAATAATAATATATTTTATAGACCTCGGAATTAAAAAGAACTAAATAACGGACCTTTTATAAATAATAATTTAAATAAGGTATTATTTTTATACTTTTATTAAAAAAATAAATAATATATAATAATTTATAACGAGACGTAATTATTAGAGATTTTAATTTTTTAATTCGATTTAATATCGTATTAGTATATTTTAAAAAAAGAAAATACTTAACGATTCCCTAACCTAAAAATAAATAACTTATTTATAAGCCTAAAAGACTAGATCTTTAAAAAAAGGAGCTAATATTACGATTTAATACGTATAATAAGGCTAGGGTCCTACTCTATAAAACCTATAACGGCTACTATATTATATATATAAAAATACGGACTTAAAATAACTCTTTTTAAAATAAAAAAACTATAAATAAGTTATATAACTACGATTATATAATAAAATAAAAAACGAACGCTTATAAATAAATAAAACGGACGATCGTAAATAAGTAAAACGGACGACCGTTTAGTAAATAATTAAATAATAATAAATAAAAGTACTATAAAAAATATATTTATAAACGAGACTTATATATAATATAAACTTAAGCCGGGCTTAAAAATAAACTTCTTATAGCTTTTTTAATAATTAACTTAGTATTAAATCTTATAATCGTTTTTAGCTATTTTTATTAAGAACTTTTTTTAATAAAACTACGATTAATTATTAAAGCCTTATTTATTTTATAACTTATAAATATAGCTTTAGGAAAGCTATTTACGATTATAATACTATTTATTTAGTATTTATAGCCTTAACTTTTATTAATATACTTACTATAACTAGTTAGTTATAATAAAAATATTATATTACTTTTTAAATATATTTACGTTAATTATAATAGCTAGGGCGTCGAGGGGGCCTAAGAATTTATTAAGCCCTAGAGAGGGGGACTTATTAAGGGGTATTTTTAAAGAGTACTAGCCCGCTAGTTACTAACTATATACTAAGAGAGTAGTAGTTTATATATTAATAAGTTCGTTTAATAAGTTTATTTAATAGATTTATTTAGTTTAAATAGAACTTTAAATAATATTAAAAGTAATAAGGATAAAAAGAATTTTTACGAGCTTTAAAAATTAGCTAAATATTAGCCCTTTTAGCCCTTTTTTCTTTAAAAAACCTCTACGTTACTATTAAAGTTTAGAACCTCTATAATTAAAAAAGGCCGCCTCTAACCTTTATAGCCGACCTCTATTATTAACTTTTTTAGCTAGTATTATTATATAAAAGGTAGCTTACCTATCCTAAATTATATAGCGGTTTTTATATTAAAATTATTATATTACGTTAAGTACGTACTTAGGGTATATTATATATATTATATAATTAAAAAGTATATTATATTATATAATTTCTTTTAAAAGCGTAATCTTATTAAGGTCGATCTTTTATATTTATAAAGCTAGAAAAAAACCGCTATATATATATAAAAATATAAACTTAAAATAACTCTTTTTAAAATAAAAAAACTATAAATTAGTTATATAACTATAATTATATAATAAAATAAAAATAAATATTTATTAATAAATAAAATAGATTACTTTAAATAAAATAATTAAATAATAATAAATGGGGTATTATAAAAGATATATTTAAGAACGAGACTTATATATAATATAAATTCAAGCTGAGTTTAAAGATAGACTTCTTATAGTTTTTTTAATAATTAATTTAATATTAAATTTTATAATCGCTTTTAAAGTCTATCGAGATAGTGGGAGTATCCATTGATACTATGTATTAATACCGTATAATCGATATCGAGAATCGCCCGAGTAGCTAGCAAAGGCAGAATACAAAAACAAACAAATAATCGCTTTTAAGTATTTTATTAAAACCTCCTTTAAATAAACTATAATTAATTATTAAAGCCTTATTTATTTTAGGATTTATAAACATAGTTTTAAAGAAGTTATAGTTATATAATTTATTTATAGTTTTTTTATTTTAAAAAGAGTTATTTTAAGCTTATATTTATATATATATAGCGTAGTAGCCGCTGCGGTCCTATAGGGCAGGCCTTAGTCTTATAACATGTGTTAGGTCGTAATACTGGGGAATAGCAAGGAGTCTAAATACAGCCAGCCTCGTAAGTGGCATTTAAGCAGTATTCTCTAGTGGTCCCTCAACAGGACTAAGCGTCGGCTCGGTCGACATTGAGATGACCAAAAGGCAGGACCCTTGGATCCCTTCTTCACCGACCAGATCACCAAAGCTTTACTTTACCTTACGATTGACAAACATAGCTAGAAAGCTATCTAGAGTTACGACACTGTTACTTAGTATCGCAGCCTCAACTTTTGCAAACATACCTCTAAGACTAGCTGGCCGTAACACCGTAACACTTTCCTTAACTGACCCGCCCACTTCGTTTTTGGGCTTTCCAACTTAAACTTACAACTCACGGAGAGAGTTACTAGGCCGAAAGGGGGAAAATTGTCATCACACGAGTCAGACATCAGCGTAGAAATGGAAGAAAACGAGAAATTGGACAGAATATGACTTCGCGTAGACTAATTTATGATACTTGAAGTATCTATGAATGGTCGGGATTAGTGGTACTTGTTTCCTATCGCCGGAAAATATTTGTAAAGCGTAAGATCCTATCCTAGTGGTTGTGTCATCCCCTGAAATGACCATGGTGATTTGAGTATATAAGTGAACCAATTTCCCTCAACTTTAGAACTCAAGTTACAACGACCAGACTTATTCTTCTCTTTAACAGTCAAACCAACCTCTCAAAATCCTTTGCCAAAATCAATCATGTCTTGCTACGCTGAAGCCCACGCCAACCCAAATGGCCCTGGCGACGCGCGTCCGACGGCCCTGAAAATCATCGAGGACGAGGGTGTGAAGGGAAAGCTCGCGGGTAAGGTCATTATCATCACCGGTACTTCTTCCGGCATCGGTATCGAGACCACTCGCGCCCTGTCCGCCACTGGCGCCACCCTCTTTCTCACAGCCCGAGACGTCGCCAAGGCTCAGTCCGCCCTCATTGGTATCTTCGATCAATCCCGCATGGAGATCATCAAGATGGACCAGGCAAGCCTCTCTTCTGTCCGGGATGCCGCCGCCGCCATTCTTGCCAAGACTACCAAGATTCACCTCCTAGTGAACAACGCTGGCATTATGGCCATCCCCGACCACCGCCTTACCGCCGAGGGCCACGAGCTCCAGTTCGGCACAAACCACCTATCCCATTTCCTCTTTTACAAGCTCTTGGAACCTGCGCTTCTTGCTGCAGCCTCCCCGAGTCTACCGTCACGCGTCGTCAATCTCTCGTCTACTGCTCACAACGTCCATGGAATAAATGACCCCGACAACTACGACTTCCAGAAAGGCGACTATGATGCCAGTGTGGCCTACGGACAATCCAAAACGGCCAACATTTACATGGCTAACGAGATCGAGCGCCGCTACGGGTCGAGTCACCTACACGCAACGAGCGTCCATCCCGGTATTGTCCAAACGGGGCTGACCCAGCACATGCCCCCGGATGCCTTCAAGGGGATGGAGTACTTGTATCCCACAATGAAAAGTATTGAACAGGGTGCCGCAACTTCAGTATGGGCGGCTGTGGGCAAGGCATGGAAACATGAAGGTGGCAAGTACCTTGTCAACTGCGCCGTAGCAGAGCCGTATGTTGAAGGAGATAATAAGTTTCTTGCGCTCGGATATGCGCCGTACGCCTATGATATAGAAAAGGCAAAGAGGTTGTGGAGTCACTCGCTTAAGATTGTGGGATTGCCTGACGAGGCGTAGGGAACCGAGAGTGACGTGGCCCCCAGTATGCAGTTCAACGAGTAGTTTCTTTTTGATTGATAACACAATTATACCCAGGGACATACATACCATCCGTGATATCTTTGTGATGTATTGATCACTTGATGTCTCAAATTCTGACTTATTGAGCCGGCCTCTAGCTAGGTAATAAGTAGCGGCAAGAGCAGCAAATTTCGCCCGACTGTGTCTCTTGTTACGAAGGCTCGAGTACTTGTTACCATCATTCCAGCGTAGCGGCTACCTCCTCGGTCCAGAGAGACGTATGGGAGCTTCTCCTCTCTTCAGCCTCCAGCAATTACTAGCTTCAACCAAGTCATCAGATCCCTCCACTGCCCACGACCACTTCTCAAGAAAGCCGGGGGTGGCCTCCCAGCTCCGTATGTCGTGCGGCTCGCCCCAAACAATGAGGCCCTTGCGGTTCGCAGTGATGCCATCTTCGTGAGATTCTGCGGTGAAGGGGGAGGTCCCTTTGGGCTTGGGGTCGGAAACGGTGATGGTGACGGGGGTACCTTGTCGCTCTCGAGTCGGTGTCATGCTCATGAGCTCACCGATGAGGTCTTGTAGAAGCTCCCAGTGGTCAAATTCCCCTTCGTGCCTTATTAGATTGTCACGAAAGCGAGGGAATGGAAAGAGATTGATGTACAGAGAATGCAGCCGGATTTGCTGAAGGCGGGTTGGGATGAGGCAGGGTGGAATATTAGGATTCAGGGGATAGACACAAGTGTCATCACGGTAAGGACCGCTGATTGGACAGGTGGTTGGAGAAGAAGGCTTATTAGTTTGGCCTGTGAGAAGTATGTTGAGAGTGCGTTTGTTCGCAACGAAAGCGCGAAAGACATTGTACTGGACGAGATGGAGGAGGTGGTCGGTTGAAAGTGGGAAGATGAAGGACGGGGGGTTTAGAGGCTTCTGGGCATTGGCGGCGGTGGGCGACAGTGGCCCTTGAATAACGCAAGCGCATTCGGCGGCAGGTTTTGATTCGCTTCCTGATGCTGACGAGACGTTCTGAGAGGCGTCATTATCGAATTCGTCGAGGCGCCAGCGTCTGACTTCAAATGGGCGCGACAACGTCCGTGAAGACATCGAGACTTGCTGCTTCATCCGCAGCCCTGCCAAGCTTATGAGCTCATCAATTCTCGAGGCTATGGCGGAAACACTTACGGTGTGCTCTTTGATTATTCCGGTTTTGAAGCTTCCTGCGCTGCGTATTATTGGCTTTGGCCTCGACGTCACCGTCGGCGTGGTTGGAGTGACAGCTGACCCTGTTCGACTCGCGTTCACTCCCCGATGAATGAAGAGAAGTACCGGAATCTGCCATTTTTCGTAGCTACCAGGTTTTCGATTGTATGTCGCTGCTGTTAAATCTCACTGGGAAGTACTGACATTCAGAAAAGTCACTAAACCGACGAAAACGAGGTCTTTGATTTTGAAATATACCGCGCATCGACCAATGCCAGTCAAACCGTCAAACGTGGGGGCTAGACAAGGGCACGTATGTGTAAACCTCCACGCTATAGGCTAAGCTCAAGACGGGAAAAGGGTCATCGGGTGGGGCCAACCGATGTAGGGTAGCCGTTGGAAATCATGGCTGTGTTAAACTTTAAAGCCTGCGAGAAGACATGCTAGGCCGAAGAGGGGAAATTTGTAATCACGGCGAGTTATACCTATGAGCCAGGGATGGTTTCTGGCGGTATCCATACGGAGTACCCCGTAGGTACGGATAGAAAATGATTATTGTTAATCGATCTGGCTCGTCTGTAGAACACCATCAAAGAAACGGCTTTTATCAAGGTTTCACCGCTATCTCCGGGAATGACTGTGGCCCGAATTGAATTGGTATTGAAGTCAATGTGAATGGTCACAGCCAGCTAATATCAGAGATTAAGGTGCCTGTATCAATGCGGATTATGATGGAATATAAAGGCTAGCCGAACCTCTTCACCATCTGTGCCTTGGTCTTGAATCGCCACCTCTCAATTCTACCTTCACACTCACACAAAGTTCCAAAGATTATAGCCTCACACCACCATGGCCACTACTCCATCCTCATCAGACCTCAGGAAGGTGATTGAGGCTACTGCAGAAACGTTTTTGGCATCGTTCGAAGACGGTTCAGTCCAGAACGACCCCGCCATCATTAACCGCACCCTCACACCAGACTGCACTCGACACATACTCCCTTCCAGCGTGTCTGAGGTCCTTGGTCTGCCGGCAAATTTCAGCATCGACAATGTCACGTTCCAAAAAGTCTTTGCTAAAGACATCAAAGCCCTCAAGTTCCGCAACGGCATCATTTCGAACTTGGTTATCGACACTGAAGCTCGCCGCGCTGCGTTCACATCTATATTTGATGTGGTCGTAGTAGGTAGCGGGGAAAAATTCGCCTCGGAGGCCAGTTTCACCTTGTACTTCAACGAAAATGGTTCCAAGATCACAAAAGTGATTGAGTTCCTCGAAAAAGATTCGACTGTAAGGATGGCAGGCGTTCACAAGGAGAACATGCCGAATATCAATTGAAGAATCCCCCTCTTACATAGCGCGGTGGTGCGTTTCGTTACAGGCCGTTCGAGATCAAAAGTCATGGTGCGCCTCTGTAATTAGCCCCTAGAGATGATAGATCCATGAGTACGAATAAGATGTGGAAATCTTTTTCTTAGACTTTATAAGCTAGCAATTGGGACTGGAAGGAAATCAAGTCACTGACCGGTTTACTAAATTTTCAAGAACTATCATTATTGCCTTTCCTTTGCTAGATACCTTCCATCTAGCGCAGAGACTTAGAACTATTTATAGTGTTTTAGTATTATGATATTAAGGTGTGAAGAAGGGAATCAAATCCCAGGTACTATGTTACGGCCAGCTAGTCGTAGTAAGTATTACGACCTAACATTGTTATGAGCAGGTTAAGGTAACTAACTATTAATAAGTATATAACACAGGGAAGAAGCTCATAGAGGCTAACTATTATTAGGGTCCAAAAGATAAATTACTAAAATCTACCCTTCCCTCGAGGCATACTACTAATACTCTATATATACCTAAGTTACTCTTTTATTACTTAGTCCCTCTTTTTATACTCCTTAAGCTATTTCTTAATTAATAAGGTTTAATTAGCGAGGCTTAATAAAATACTCTCTCCCCTAAGCTTCGTTTTAAAAGCTACTTATAGTTTACGTACGCTATATTAATTCTTTATTTATAAAGTCTTTTAATATATAATATAAAAATAAGTAAAAGTAGTACTTATTAACCTAAGTATAAACCCCTTATTTTAAATAATAAATTTAGTTAGCCCTATAATTCTATACTTAAATCGCTCCTACTTATAGTCCGTTTTTTATAATTATTAGTACTTAAATAATCGTTACCCTACTTTTATTTACTAATATTAACCCCTTTTTAAATTATTATAATTTTTAATTTTTCTTTTCTTTTTATCTATAATTATCCTAATTATATATAGTTTTATATTTTTATTAATATCTATACTACTTCTTTATTACGTAAATCTTATAGCTAACGAATATTTTTTAAATCTTTTAATTTCTTATACTCCCTATATCTAAATTAATCTCTTTTAAAATCGTACCGTATTCGTTACTAATTCTATTTTAATATAAACATAGCTCCTTTTAATAATATTATTATAATTAATAATAAACCGGTTATTAATATTATAAGTATACTTAGTAATAATAGTAATAGCTATCTACTTAAAAAGCCTAATATCCCCTTTACTTACTTTAACCTCGTACGTATATCGCTACTTATATACTACTTATACTAATTATTATAAACTCTTATTAAAAAAAAAAAAATAAACGCTAAAAAAATCGTAGTTAACTAAGTACGCTTACTCCCCTATCCTACTTACGTTATATATAAAGCGCTTAATCTAAAAGTTAAGTACTATAATTAGCTAGGTTAGTAATTTATAGCCCCTAATTTACTTTTTTATTTAATACTTTTTTAAAATCTAATATACGTTATATAAAATATACTACGTAAAACTATTCTTATAAAAATATAATAAGCGCTTAGTACTATTACTATTCTATTACTTTTCTTATATATTAATTAATAATATTTTAAATCCTTAAGTCCGTAAAATCTATAATATAAACCCTCTAAAGTACCGCTCTCGTTTTAAATAATAACGTTTACGATTTAGAAATTTATTACTCTATTATTACTCTATTATTATTACTACTTAAGTTATTAATATTACTTTATAGTTTTAATAAACTTATAAAATCGCTACTAATAATACGTAAAGGGCGCTTAAGTATATTAATAAAGAGGCCCGTTCTACCCTTATTATTAATAATAATAATAATAAAATAGTTATAAGCTCCTCCCGTACTACGTCTTCGTCTTATAATAATATAATAATCGCGCTATTACGTACTATTTATAACAAAGTACGCCGCTTAAATAATATTTTAAAAAGAATATAATTACCCTACTTATACTCCGTATTTATAACTAATTATTTATAAATTTATTAATAATAGGGTAACTACTTTTTTTTTAATAATCCTAAGGATAAGGATAAGGGCGGCCCCTCTACATATAAAAGCGGTCCTCCCGTAAGTAATAAGGATTAGGGAAGTTATTTATAATTAGTATATTTATATTACTTAGTTATAATTATATAGCCCCCTTTTTTTATTATTAATAACTAATTCGCTATATTATTAAGTTTATTAAAAGCTAAAGCGCGCTACTTAATTAAAACTCGTTTTTTATATATACTAATTAACGCTACGTTTTTAATATACCTAATTAGTTCTTATATATCTTCGTTATTATTATATCTTTTTTATTAAATTAGGTATTATTACCTCCTCTTTAGCCTTCTATATTATATAATATTTTTTATTTTATAAAATAGCTCCCTATTTATATTTTTAATAAGTAAGGGCTTCTAAGGGGCTTTTTCGTAATATTAATACGGCTCGAGTAAGGATATATAAAATATATTATATATTTTATACTACATTAATACGTTTAGTTAATAAGTTACTCCCGCCGTTTTAATTATTAATTTAATTTTAAATAAGCCTAAATACTTATTAACTAACTTCTAACTAGGGCGCTATTTCTTAATATTCTTTTTTAATAATAATACTTAGTTACTTATTTTATATAATATATCTATTTTAACCTTATTAACTTATTATTTATATATCTTATATACTTTTTATATAAGGGGTTATAAAGTTTTTTAGTTAGCTCGTAATCGGGCTACACGCTCCTTAGTTAAAATATTCTATATACTATCTCGAGTCCTTATTAAAATCGATATAAAGTAAGTAAATAAAAACCTAAGTAGGGCTTTAATAAGCGCTTTATAAATTACTAAGTACTAAGTATTATTATATATAAACTTAGCTAAATAAAAACGCTATACCTAATTTAATTAGTCCTAGGTATAAAAGTAATAAAAGTATTATTCTAAATATTAGTTCTACCGTTCTATTTAACCGTCCGTTTATAAATAGAATACGGTATTAAGACGCCTCTTTATTACTAAAAAATAATAAAAATAAGTCTAAAACTTATTTATAAATAACGAGCCCCTATTAAAAACGATCCCTTTAGGTATTTTAAACTTCATAAAGATCTTTATAAATAAGAGGTTTATAAATCCCTAAGCTATAAAAGTTATCCTCGTAATAATATAAACGCTATATTTTATAAATCGGTTTATTATAATAAGTACCGTGTTATAGGGGTACTTCCTAATTAGTATAGTTAATATAAGTAAGCTTATAATAAAATCTAATAATATCTCTTATTATAACTTAACTAAAGTAAATAGGGAGCGTAATAAGTTATACGGCTTATAATAACGAGGTTTTATTTACTAATATATTATATAAATATTAATATAACTTTTTATATCCTTACTTACTTTATTTTAATAATAATAACGTTTTAATAATACTATCATCCGTTTTATATTATAATATTTTACTATAAGTATATTATAATATACTTTAATAACCTCTCTCCTTAGCCCCTTATATAGTAATACGTAAGTACGGCTACTATAATATAATAACTTTTTCGAGTTATATACCTAGTTTTATTATTACTTCTTCTTAACTAAGCGAGGCTATCGGTTCTTTTTAATTTACTACTTATCCTTTATAAAAACGTCTTCTTATTAAATAGCCTATAATTAACTTATTATTAATAACCCCTTTTTATTAAATACTATTTTAGGTACTCTTATTATATTAAAATCTTATAAAATAAGTAGTTCGTAATTTATAAATTTAGTAATAAGCTTAAATAGCTCCCTAAGTATTATATTATAATTTTAATACCCTAGGCTCGTAGCCCCGTTACGCTTCTTAAAATACTCCTCGGGGCTCCCTCGAGCTAGAGTTCTTAACCTCTTTTACTTACTTTTTTATATTATTACTAATTTTATTTTTAAAATACTTACTATCTTTTTTATTTAAGAGCTATTCTCGTAGCTCGTTCTTATATATTTTATTATTATAACTCTAAAGAGCTTTTATATATTTTTAATATTATATAAGTCTTTTCTTATTTTTAATAATAGCTCCTCTACTCCGTTATTATTATTATTTTTACTATAATTAGGTCTTCGTAATAGTCTATTTATTAAGTTCTTAATACCTAGCTTAAACCTAATCTTAATATTAAACACTACGAGTTTATCTAGCTAGTATAGCTATTTCCTATTTAGCCTCTTTTTAATATTTAAAAACTATAAATTAAAATAATTTATAAATACTACGACCTAATCTCGGCTATAAATAAAATAGTATTACTAATTTCTTAATACGTTTATAATAACTAATAGCTCCGTATTTCTTATACTATAATAGCTCTCTATATCCGTTAATTTCCTTAACTTATAAATAATTAAATACTAATTACCCTTAAATAATTACGTAATTACTAAGTTAATAGTTCGAGCTAAAGCGTCTATTTATAACTACGTAAATAAAATAGGGTTAAAATATCGTAATATTAGTATATTAATAAATATTACTAATAGCCTTTTAAATAACTCTACGGTAAGTATTAATAATTTTAACTATCCTAGCTTTACCTTTTTTAATAAGTTTATTAAAAGTACGGTTATTTTAGCGTAGTTATTAATAAATCTATAATAAAACCCTATAAATCTAAAGAACGTTTATATATTTTTAACGCTCTTTAGAAATAGTTAATTTATTATAGCTTTAGTATACGCGGGTTCTATTTTTATACCTTTATTAAATACAATATACCCTAAAAATCCTATACGTAATATATAGAACTCGTATTTATTACTATTTAGATATAAGTTTTATTATTATAATTTTTATAATACGCTACGTACGTACTCTTTATATACTACGTAGTTATTATTATATATTAAGATATTATTTAAGTATACGATATAAATAGTATTAACTAAGCTATTTAGAACGTTATTAATATATATTTAGAAAGTTGCGGGCATATTAGTTAATTTAAAAAGTATAACTAAGTACTCGAACTACTTATATTTAGTATAAAAAGCCGTTTTTTATTTATTACCCTTAGTTATACATATATAGTAATATGCGTTTTTAAAGTCTAGTTTTATAAAAACAGAGGTATTAAATAATTTATTTAATATTTTTTTAATTAGTAATAGCGGCGTTCTATTTTTTTATATAATCTTATTAATTATTCTATAATTAATATAAAGTCGTAGCTCTCTTTTTTTTTTAAGTATAAAAAAGATAAGTACTCTAGCCGGGCTTATAAAAGGGCGTATCTAGCCCCTAGCCTCTACTTTTATTAAATAATCTTATAAAATCTCGAGCTTATAGTTCGATAATAAGTAAATAGGTCCCTAGGGGATAGGTATAGCGTTATTTAATTTAATATAATAGTTATATAGTACTCTATTTAGTAATAAAATAGCCTTCTTTTTTAAAAATAAGTTATTAAAGTCTTAGTATTATAGTTTCTAATCTTTAGCTACGCTCGCTAGTATTACGTCGCTATTTATAGCTAGGTTAATTATAATATACGTAAGTATTACTAAAACTAAGTTATTTAATAGCCCCTTTTTTAGGGCGTTTAAGTAAATATATCGTTCGTAAATTAAATACTATTACTTTTTTTATTTTTAACTAATTAACGGGTCGATATCCTTTAACTAGAGAAAACTAAGTATAAATATAAGTACTATAATATTAGCTATTATAAAGCGATATAATTATATTTTTATTACGTAGTCGTTATTAATAATTCGAAGCTATAAGTAGTAGCTCCTTAGCGTTTCTATTTATTTACTTTTAATATTTATTAACTATAGCAATAGGTAAATTCGTAAATTAGTATTAAAATTATTAAATAGCCTAATACTAATTACGTTCCCTTTTACTCCTAAATTAATAAGGGCGCTTAGCTTTTTTTATATATAGTTTAAGTATATATAAGTTAGGACGTTTAAGCGCCGCCCTTATTAATCGCTAATTACCCTCCTTATTAAAATAGTATTTAAATTCGTTATTAGTCTGTATTACTTAGTTAGAGCGAGGTCTAATTAATAGTTAGTAACCTTATACCCTTTTTAATTATATTTATAATATATAACGCTAAGGTAGTTATTAACGAGGTATTAAGTTTTATTATAATTATAGTACTATTAATACTACTCCCGCGGTTACGAGTAATCCCTTATAATATAACTAGTTTTTTTATAATTATAATATATAATATCTTTACTAAGCGAGTTACGGTATATTCCTTACGTAATTAGCTTATTAATACCCCAGTATTTCCTTACTAACTTATTTAAGTTTAAATTAAAATATTACTTAGGGGGCGTTCGTAAGCTCCTTATTAATAGCGAGGATTATTTAATACGTCTTATTAATAATATTAATTATAAATAAGTTTATAAAAGTTCTATTTACGATATTATTATAAAGTATAGTTCGGGCCGTAGCTTACTTATTAATATAAAGATCCTCTATTTTTTTATTAAAATATATTTTAATTCTATTTCGAGCTTATTAATATAATTAACGAACTCGTTAACCCTCTCTTTTTAATTTTATAAAGCGCTATTTAAGTATATATTTACTACTATCCCTCGGTTAATAAAATTAAATAAGTTATTTTATAAAAAAGTCTCTAGTTCCTCTTATATAACTTAGTCCGTTATAAACCTAGGGACCCTTTTATAGTTAAAAATATAATATATCTAAGAGGTCTTTATACTACTACTTAAGTAACTAACTATATATACTATTTTATTATAGTTTATTTTTATTTATTAAACTTATAAGTTAAAATAATAATAGTAATTAAATAAAAAGCTTTATAAGTCCCGTACTAATTTATTAATATATAATAAATTAAAAAGGGATAGTAATCTAAATATAAACGCTCTACTTATAGTACTTATTTAAATTAAAAAGGAGCTAATAAATAAAAACTTAAATAATACGAACTCGTTATTTTATTATTACTTAAGTAGTACTTTAAATACGGCTTCGCTCGTTAAGCTATTCTTAATCTAGGGGTTTACGTTCCTATTTATATTAAAATTAATATTTAAAATTATTATAATTAAAACCGTAGCTCTTAATATAAGGGCCGGGCTACTTAAAGAGCTTTATAAGCGTTCTAAATTTACTTATCTTTTATATAAGTACTCTTCGTACGTTATTATAAAAATTTCTTTTTCTAATTATTATTCCTATTTTTATAGTTTTATTAATTTATTATTAATCGTTCGGTTTAAATATTAATAAGCGAGAGTAAGAGGTTCGCTATTTTATTTAAAATTTATTAATATTTTTTAATAATATAGTCCTTTTATATTATTATTACGAAGTTTATCTTACTACGCTCCGTTTTTATATCGTTTATTAAAAAAGAGGTAATTTTAAAAAGTTTAATAAAAACGAGTCGTCCTCTTTTTATTATTATAATACTAACTACGTTCTCTTATTACGTTTTATTTTTATAAATATTTTAAGTTCTTAACTTAGTCCCTTTTATAAATAAAAATTTTAAATTATTAATAAATATATAATATAAAAAAAAAGCTTATAGAAGCTAATTATTATTAAAATTTAAAAAATAAATTATTAAAATTTACTTTTCCCTCGAGGTATATTATTAGCGCTCTATATATACTTAAGCTACTCTTTTATTACTTAGTCCCTCTCCTTATACCCCTTAAGCTATCCTTTAACCGACGGGGTCTAACTAGCGAGGCCTAATACTAACTATAATATAAAGCAAAAGCTTTAATAATAATAACTCCGGTTATTATTATCCCTTGTTCTATAAATATAGCTATGCCATAATAGGACCAACTGTGTATAACGGGCTGGGCCCATATGAGGCCTTGCAGGATATCGCGGCCATGAGCTACCCCTAATCAGGCCCACCGCAAAACCTACGATACTAACAATCCGATAGCCGCAGTACGGCCTTAATTAGGCCAACAGCAAAGCGGAGATTTATTATTTTTCCTTTCTAGTCCTCATCTAAGGATACTCGTAGTAGTTATCATAACTAGTTATAGATATACTAACCGTTATACTCCCATAACTCTTTAGCAATTAACTTAATAAATATCTTCGGATACTTTCAGGCTTATTTTACTCTGTACCTTAATATTAGAGATATAACTAATTACTATATCTTCTAAAGACCGTTTTAGATATACTCGACCTATAGTACCACGGATACTATTATAGCTTTATACCTTAGTTTCTATTAGGAGACTCCTCACTATTAGAAAGTCTAGCTATAACACTAGAATTACAACTAAGTACTACTATTATAGGGCCTTTTATAGCAGAGCAAAAAGGGTAGAACTTAGCCGGCAGCCATAAAATCTTCTAACCGTTAGAGATTATCTAATAACTAGCGATCTTTGCTAATGCTTAGTGTAAGATCATTACACGGATCCGTTGTTACACCACCTCTGTGACTTTTTGCAGGCGTGGGTTCTTGGGCACTTCATTCAAGCCACAGGTGGTAAATTGAGCTCCCTGGGCGGGGCCTTCTGCCGTCCTTTCAAGGCGTTCTATTAACCCTATCCCACCTTCACTACAACTTTCTCTCCCCATTAACCTTACCCATTACTTAGGCTTTGAACATCCAGCGATCTGGACGACAAAGACACTGTTATCCGCGCATGTACTAATTCAAATGAATACAGGCCATTTGCTGATAAAACGGTGCCCCTAAACACCAACCTAAATCGTGCATCCAACTCAATCATAGTGCTAAACCAAGTCAATGGGGAAGGCGACACCTTCCACAACGCTCTTGCCTTTGCATACCGTCTTGCGCTTGGCCGATTCACCACAGCAGATTAAGAAAATCCTTCTTTGCACTTATCGGCAGAATCGTACGAAGCTCTCCTTCACCGCTTACAGAGCGAACCTTCGCCTAACCTAGACGTCGGCTAACTCGACCTCAAACTCGGACTTAATCAAAACTAGCTTGACACTCGAGCTTGCGCTTCCATTTCCTTCTTGGATTCCGACTCTGGCTTCTCCTCCGACGGTGATCAAGCCGCTCGCTATTCCTTCCGCAGCAATCTCGACAACTCCGATTCGAGTACGATGCCGAAGATGGCCTTTTGACCTTCAAGATGCCCGAAACACGCGTCCATACCGACTTCGCTGCCTCAATCTGCCACAGGGTTACTGGTGCGGCCGAGCCTCTCATCGAGGATTTCCGATCCAGGGGCACCCCCGATATCGAGCTGAAGGGCAAGTCGAAATCGCGATCCAAGAAGGTTCCTGACATTGCGTGGGGTCGTTTCCCCCTCGAGACGAACCCTCCTAATGTCGCCGAGGTTGCCTACTCCCACCCCAGCGGACCCCAGGACCCCAAAATCCTGAAGGTCTGCCAGGGATATCTGGAGGGCACGCGCGGTCGTCGCAGAATCCGGGCTGTCCTCGGCTTCAAGATCTACTACCCTACTAACCCAACTAGCAATTTCGAGGCCATCCTGGAACATCTCAACGAGTGCTTCGCCGGCGTCTAGGTAATACTATCAGGCCTTGCCGGTTAGACCCCGTTAGTTAAGGGATAGCTTAAGGGGCATAAGGAGGGGGACTAAATAATAAAAAAGTAGCTTAAGTATATATAGAGCGCTAATAATATATTTTAAGAAAAAAGTAAATTTTAATAATTTATTTTTTAAACTTTAATAATAATTAGTTTTTATAAGCTTTTTTTTTATATTATATACTTATTAATAATTTAAAATTTTTATTTATAAAAAGGACTAAGCTAAGAGCTTAAAATATTTATAAAAACGAAATATAATAAAAAAGCATAGTTAGTATTATAATAATAAAAAAAAATAACTCGTTTTTATTAAATCCCTTAAAATTACTTCTTTTTTAATAAATAATATAAAAATAGAGCGTAATAAAACGAACTATATAATAATAATATAAAGGGATTATATTATTAAGAATATTAACGAATTTTAAATAAAATAGTAAACCCCTTATTTTTATTTATTAATATTTAAATTAAATAATAAGTAATAAATTAATAAAATTATAAAAATAAAAATAATAATTAGAAAAAGAAATTTTTATAATAATATATAAAGAGCGCTTATATAAAAATAAGTAAATTTAGAATACTTACAGAGCTCTTTAAATAGCCCGGCCCCTATATTAAAAACTATAGTTTTAATTATAATAGCTTTAAATATTAATTTTAATATAAATAAGAACGTAAACCTTTAAATTAAAAATAATTTAATAAGTAAAGTTATATTTAAAATACTATTTAAGTAATAATAAAGCGACGAGTTTATACTACTTAAGCCTCTATTTATTAGCTCTTTTTTAACTTAAGTAAGTATTATAAATAAAACGTTTATATTTAAATTATTATTTCTTTTTAACTTATTATATATTAATAAATTAGTATAGGATTTATAGAGCTTTTTATTTAATTATTATTATTATTTTAATTTATAAGTTTAATAAATAAAAATAAATTATAATAAAGTAGCGTATATAGTTAGTTACTTAAGTAGTAATATAAAAATTTCTTAAATATATTATATTTTTAATTATAAAAGGGTCCTTAGGTTTATAATAAATTAAGTTATATAAAAAGAATTAAAAACCTTTTTATAAAATAACTTATTTAATCTCGCTAGTTAAGAGATAATAATAAGTATATAATTAAATAATACTTCGTAAAGTTAAAAAAAGAGGGTTAATAAGTTTATTAATTATATTAATAAGCTCGAGATAAAATTAGAATATATTTTAATAGAGAAGTAGAGAATTTTTATATTAATAAGTAAGTTATAGCCCGAATTATATTTTATAATAGTATTATAAATAGAACTCTCGCAGACTTATTTATAGTTAGTATTATTAATAAAACGTATTAAATAATCCTCGTTATTAATAAAGAGCTTATAAACGTTCTCTAAGTAATATTTTAATTTAAATTTAAATAAACTAACGGGGAGATACTAGGGTATTAATAAGCTAACTACGTAAAGAATATACTATAACTTATTTAGTAAAGATATTACGTATTATAATTATAAATAAACTAGTTATATTATAAGGGATTATTTATAATTATAGGAGTAGTATTAGTAATATTATAATTATAATAAAACCGAGTATTTTATTAATAATTATTTTAGTATTATATATTATAAATAAAATTAAAAAGGATATAAGGTTATTAGTTATTAATTAGACCTCGCTTTAGCTAAGTAGTACGGATTAATAATAAATTTAAATATTATTTTAATAAAAAGAGTAGTTAGTAATTAATAAGGATAGTACTTAGATATCTTAATTTATATATACTTAAATTATATATAAAAAAAGCTAAGCGCCTTTATTAATTTAGAAATAAAAGGGAACGTAATTAGTATTAGGCTACTTAATAGTTTTAATACTAATTTACGAATTTATTTATTATTATAGTTAATAAACGTTAAGAGTAAATAAATAGAGACGCTAGGGAGCTATTATTTATAGTTTCGAATTATTAATAGTAACTATATAATAGAGATATAATTATATCGCTTCGTAATAATTAATATTATAGTACTTATATTTATATTTAATTTCCTTTAATTAAAGAATATCGACTTACTAATTAGTTAAAAATAAAAGAAGTAATAGTATTTAATTTATAAATAATATATTTATTTAAACGCTTTAAAAAAGGGGCTACTAAATAACTTAGTTTTAATAATACTTATATATATCGTAATTAACTTAGTTATAAATAGCGACGTAGTATTAGCGAGCGTAGCTAAGGATTAAAAGCTATAATATTAAAATTTTAATAACTTATTTTTTAAAAAAAAGGTTATTTCGTTATTAAATAGAGTACTATACGATTATTATATTAAACTAAATAATATTATACCTATTCCCTAAGGACCTATTTACTTATTATCGAACTATAAGTTAGAAATTTTATAGAATTATTTAATAAAAATAGAGGCTAGGGGCTAAATACGCTTTTTTATAAGCCTAGCCGGAGTACTTATCCTTTTTATATTTAAAAAAAAAAAGAGCTATAACTTTACGTTAATTATAAAATAATTAATAAAATTATATAAAAAAATAAAACGCTATTATTACTAATTAATAAGATATTAAATAGACTATTTAATACTTCCGTTTTTATAAAACTAAATTTTAAAAACGCGTATTATTATATATATATAGTTAAGGGCGATAAATAAAAAACGGCTTTTCGTACTAAATATAAGTAGTTTGAGTACTTAATTATACTTTTTAAGCTAACTAACGTACCCGCAACTTTTTAAATATATATTAATAACGTTCTAAGTAGCTTAGTTAATACTATTTATATCGTATACTTAGATAATATTTTAATATATAATAATAACTACGTAGCGTATAAAGAGTACGTACGTAGTATATTATAAAGACTATAATAATAGAACTTATATTTAAATAGTAATAAATACGAGTTTTATATATTATATATAGAATTTTTAAAGTATATTATATTTAATAAAAGTATAAAAATAAAACCTGCGCGTACCGAAGCTATAGTAAATTAATTATTTTTAAAAAGTATTAAAAATATATAAACGTTTTTTAAATTTATAAGGTTCTACTATAAATTTATTAATAATTATATTAAAATAACCGTATTTTTAATAAACTTATTAAAAAAAGCGAAACTAGGATAGTTAAAATTACTAATACTTATTATAAAATTATTTAAGAGGTTATTAATAATATTTATTAATATACTTATATTATAATATTTTAACCTTACCCTACTTATATAGTTATAAATAAACACTTTAGCTCGAGCTATTAACTTAGTAATTATATAATTATTTAAGGGTAATTAGTACTTAATTATTTATAAGTTAAGAAAATTAATAAATATAAAGAGCTATTATAATATAAAAAATATAAAGTTATTAACTATTATAAACGTATTAAGAAATTAATAATATTACCTCGCTTATAATTAAAATTAGGTTATAGTATTTATAAACTATTTTAATTTATAGTTTTTAAATATTAAAAAAAGGCTAAATAAAAAATAGTTATATTAGCTAAATAAACTCGTAGTATTTAATATTAAGATTAGGTTTAAACTAAGTATTAAAAACTTAGTAAATAAATTATTATAAAGACCCGATTATAATAATAATAATAATAATAATAATAAAATAAAAAAGCTATTATTAAAAATAAAAAAAGACCTATATAATATTAAAAATATATAAGAGTTCTTTAGAATTATAATAATAAAGTATATAAAAAAGAATTATAAGAGCGGCTTTTAAATAAAAGGGATAATAAGTATTTTAAAAATAGAATTAGTAATAATATAAAAAAGTAAATAAAAGAGGTTAAGAGCTCTAGTTTAAAGGAGCTTTAAAAAGTATTTTAAAAAATATAACGGGGTTATAAGCTTAGGATATTAAAGTTATAATATAATATTTAAAAAGCTATTTAAGCTTATTATTAAAATTATAAATTACGAGCTATTCGTTTTATAAAACTCTAATATAATAAGAGTATTTAAAATAGTATTTAGTAAAGAGAGGTTATTAATAATAAATTAATTATAAGCTATTTAATAAGAGAACGTTTTTATAAAGGATAGGTAGTAAATTAAAAAAAATTAATAGCTTTACTTAGTTAAAAAGAAATAATAATAAAACTAAGTATATAATTTAAGAGGGTTATTATACTACGGTAATTACGTATATATATTATTATATAAGGGGCTAAAGAGGGAGATTATTAAAATATATTATATTATAAAGGTAACTTTATTTACCTTATTATTCGCCTTATTATTAATATTGCGTAAGCAAACTATATACTATATTAATCTACGATTTTTATAGATTATTATAAGTATTAATTATGTAAGTAATACTGCTTATATAAGCTTATATAAGCAATAGAAAGTACTAAAAAGTAACTAAATAAGCTAGAAATCTCTCGAGACGGAATTAAGTACTACGATTACGTATTTACTTACGTATACGCTTATTAATTATATTATAATTAATAAGTAATAGAATATTCTAGTAGGAGGTTTTTATACCTATATATAAGCGTATATTTACTTACTTAGACCTTTTGTTAAGTAAGCAACTTCTTATATAGTAATTAACTATATTACTCTTTTTATTATAAAAACCTCTTTTATATACGCTTATTTTCCCTATATTTATATATTCTTGCTTCTATATGAATATTTACTTTTTATATTCTTTTATAAGAATATCCCGTATTACCTCGTTAAAGCTATACGTACTAGAGGTTATGAGCCTAGTTATTATATAACTAAGGTTTTATTTACTTAAGTGAATATTATTCACTTATCCGAGCTCTTCTATTTTTATTCGCCTATATTATACCTATTATCATTTAGGTATATGCCTTTATCCGATATATGCATATTCATATATCGAGATTCCTTATTCCGCCCAAAATCCCTTTTTCGAATTCTAAAATTCGAAATCAACCTTTATAT